GCGCGATGCAGTTTGGTATCCGGCGATTTTGTGTGATACATTAATGCCATGAAAATAATTAATAACGGCGCGCACCAGGGTTATTGTTGCGATCATTTATTGTGCATTTTGTGCCGTGCAACAACTGCACAAAATGCATATTTTCACTGTGTGCTTGTGTGTCCGCAGCAACTTGTCCGCAGCTTTCAACTCGGGAACCACAAGAGCTAGGGGCTGAAAATCTACGGGAAGGTTCCCCCACTCACGTATGATCCCGCATATTTAAATTCAGCGTCTCCGTACCCGCGGGTAACGCGTACGGTCCCATAAAAGTTTTAGCAGGTAAAATTGTTGTCATGGGAACCGCGGAAGATAGAAAGCTGAAATTTTGTGGGCATTTATGCTGCCCATGTACGACCTTGTAAATTCAAATTCATCATTCACACACTCTCGGGTATCAGCTGCGGCCCTTGGCGAGGAAATATTATTTCCGGAACCATAAAAGCTAAGAAACTGAAATTTTGCAGTAGCGTGCCCTATTTACATACAATCCCGAAAATTTAAATTCAGCCTTCTCGCGCTCTCAGGTATCACTTACGATCCTGTGAAAGTTTCGGCGAGCAAAATTATTATCTCGGCAACCACAAAGATGGGAATCTGAAATTTTAGGGCGATTTCCCTATCAATGTATGACCCCCGCAAATTTGGATTCAGCCTTCACGTCACCCTGGGTATCACATATGGCCCTGTGATATTTTTGGTAAGGAAATTATTATCTCGTGAATTGCGAAGGCTAGAAAGCTGAAATTTTAGCGTGGCATCCCCTGCCCATGTACAACTCCGCAAATTTTTAACGTCCCCGTGGAAGTTTTAGCGGGAAAAATCATTATCTTCGGAAGCAGAAGAGTTAGGAGACTGAAAATTTCTGGAGAATGTTTTCTGCTTAAGCAGAAGCTTCACAAACTCAAACTCATTTCCTAACTATGCCGAGGTCCCACGTACGACCACGTGGAATTTTCGTCTCAAAGATCATCCGAAAGCCAGGAAATTAGGAGATTGAAGCTTGGGAAGGATATTCGCCCTTCGAAGTTTTAAATCCAGCTTTCACGTGCCGGTACTTGAAATTTTTAACTATTTTTTAAAAATTCAACTATTTTTGCACAGATCAAAGTGCAAAGCAGTGAAAATCATTAACAGGCAATCATTCGGTGGACGGAATTGCACAAACGCATAATCGAACTGGCTATTACGGTGCGCGCTGCTGTTTATTTTTACATGATTCCATCCCATAGACAGAGTGCCTTCAGTGTGGCTGCGGTGTTGCAGTTTTGACATATGATGCGTCTGTACGCAGGTTTACGTATAAGCTGAAGCTCATTTTAAGCTAAGTGGTCCGAGCATGAACAGCAGTCATCCTCGGAAAAATACTGATTCCCTGCTTACTTTGGTTACCAAATTAATTAAGTGTCAGCAGTGTTGAGAAATTCTACTTGTTCCCAGATGAGAACTAGGCTCTTTTTAGAGCTAAATTTGAAATATTTGGGTCGCATATGGGCAAAGTTTTAGCTCCCTATTCTGTCTGATCCCCGAAATTGTTTTCTCCCCAAAAAATTAACAATTTTTTTAAAATGTCCTCCGACCCAGGGTGCACTAACGTTACTTTTAAGCTGTCTGGGTAGCACTTAAACTAAGAAAGTCCTGGTGGAAATCCGGCTCCCTAACTTCTGCGGTTGCTGGATTGAATGCAGGTAACAAATAAAAACCGAGCATACACAAACACCAACAAACTTTCAATGATTTGCGTTTTTGCATTTGCATACAGATGCAAAAACGCATCAAAATAATGACAATCTATACTTGACGCTTATGCCTATTCGTCTAGCTAGAAGTACCCGCCCGAAAAAAAGTGCTACTTGGCAGCAAACATGTGTGAGGAAAATTGTGTAAAAACGCATGATCGCACCGGCACCTTTTTTACTTTTCCTGAGCATTCGTGCAGTTTTCGGACTTGTTATTGGGGTGCGGTTAGTTCCTGCTGCTTCCTCTACTTTATTATTTTTTGAGCTTTTCTCCCACCCCTCTTAAAATTTCAACACATTTTCTTCTACAGATTTAATTCTATTTCTTTTATCAGCATATAACCGTTGTACTGATGAAGTTCAGCTATGGTGATGAACTGTAATGTCTATTATTTAATGGACCAAAACATTCCTGTTCAACGAATCTTTTAATATATTTTCATACAGCTTAATAGATTTTTTATGCGTTTT